TATCTGCAAGAGCAGGGCTGTCTCCAAAGGCTCCCGCAGATGCCTCTATGTCTTTAATTTCGCCGCCTGCCATATACTTTACCTTTTGTTTATTAGTGTAAAGCCACAAAGCAAAACAGATGGCCTTCTCCCAGAGACTTAGATGTGTTAAAGTGGCATTTGCATGCCAATAAGGGCATTTCAATATCGAAATCTGGATCTAAACATTGCTGGAATCCGGATCTGCAACCCAGCTCCCCCGGTGTTGACTTAATGTGTTAGAAAGAGCGGCCATAAATTATAGCCTAAATGCGAGAGACAAGTCACTTGTCAGTGCGTCAATCTGCCATGAGCGATTCATCGGCAAAGAATCTCATCGCCTTCCAAGCCCCAAACCCAGCGTTATATATATATATATATATATATTATTTTTTTTTTTTTTGAGCCCTGATCGATTTCAAGCAAAAATATCCCAAACACCCCTCTCCTGGCTCCTTTTCTTAGTGTTATTATTATTATTTCTATACGATCAACCTTCCGGGTCAGAGGGCGCGGGGAAGAGGAATGAAAATCTCTAATTTAGAGTTTCTACCAAAAACACATCGCTATAATCTCGCAGCGTGCTTTAACCCGCTGAAGACTCTAATTTGCTCTTCAGGTCGTAGGGATCCTTTTGTTTTTACAGTTACAATTGTTTATATTAATTTTTCTCTCTAGATTTTCAGGGAGAAGGATGAAGAAACCGTCCACCCCCTAAAAAAAAAACCCCAACCAACCCCAAACAACAAAAACCCAAACAAAACCAACCAATAACAAAAAAACGAAAAACAAACCCCAACAACCCAACCCGAACCGCGTTCAAATGTCAAGCGGAGTTTAGCATCTTCCTATCATACTTAAGGCCATTTCTGCTGTTCACCTTTAAAGTTTACTTTTGGAGCCTATTGAGATGCTTTGGTGTTTTCCTCTGGGGCAATCAGATTGAAACCGATCAATATTTACTCAGTCTGAAAGGGCTGTTGAAAAGGCAGCTAACAACAAACTGCTTAGCTGCTCTCCCCTCTTTAATCTCAGGTTCACCGAAAGTTCAAGCAGAAATGAATTCGGTGATGGGTCACTTTAGAATAAATCCCAGTGGTTAATCTCACAGTCCTGGTAAAGGCAACAATTACAGAGTCATCCCTCTCGCTGTCTCCCCGGCACTGGCAACTTTTCTCTCATTTTTGCCCAGCAATATTTACTATTTCTTAACCGCATTTTTTTTGCAGAGACAGCAAAACCCAGCATCGCCCCCCCTGCAGCCCTCGCAAAGGCGGGTCCCCCCGGCCAGAGATACCGGGGGTGACGGAGAGAAGTCCTCCCACAAGGGGTACGGCATTTTCAAGGGGGAAGCAGGGACTGGTGCGGGGGCAAAGTGAGGGTGCTTGGGGCTTGTTTTCTCCCCGGCAGCGCCGGGGGGGTGGCTGGAGGGGAGCCCGGCAGCTGGAGGCGCTGGCAGAGCCGCGGGGCTGTTCTCCCCTCTCCGTTCTCCATGGGAAACAACAACAAAAAAAAAAGAGCAGAGAGAAATCTGGGCAAAACGCGATGGACGTCGCTGCTAATTGCAGGAACTCTTCAAAGGCCAAAGTTCACGTAATCACTGCATAAATGCATCCTAATAGGGATCTATTAGTACCTCTCTAATGGCAGCTCACGTTTGGGCTATAGACTCGAGCGGGTAAATTGCTTCTCGGGAGCTACCCCCTCCCTCTCAGGCACTGCCGGGG